ACGATTCATCACGTTTGAATTAGAGTTTAAATTATTCTGTTTTTTTTTGTGAATTACAGTTAAATTAAAATTTAATAACTGCATCTAATTGAGATTGTTGACTTTTTAAGTTTTCAGCGTAAAACGAGACTACTATTTTGCGTTTGGACATGTCAAAATTTGTTTTTCTTTTATTGTTTTGATATTTTAACTTATTACAGACTGTTGTGTAATTCTGTTCATTTCTGAAGACCGAAAAGTCCATTCAAAGAAAAGAATTGTATTTAAAAAAATCATACGTAACAAATTTTTATATTTTTTTCTGAATTTTATGCAAATCATCATTCATAATCAAAACTTTTGAAAAAAAAAGTAATTTTACAAATTGTATTATGATCAAAAGCAGTGATACAACATTTATGACTCACTTTCTCTTTGTTTAATATGCCAAACGGACTATTGTGATGATAGCGTCTTTTTTCGCTGTTATACCTATGAATGATGACGAATACATCCTATAACTGATACCTTTTCTCTGTAATATATTGAATAATATATTTACTGTTGTTTCATCAGGCGTATATAATCATATACAAATTGTACATCCCATTGTTCACATGAAAAAGACTTTGATATTATTTCTAAAAGAAAAATATAAATGAGCAGTGCATGAAAATGTTTTATTTACTCATAGTTTTTTCAGTGTGCCCGCGTACAAAATAGAATAAAAAGTTTATCTTCAATTTCGTTGTAATTATATCCTTTTGAATAATATTATTGTCATATAAACAAATGAAGTTCACTGGTTCATGTTTAATTTGCATCCAATAAAGTGGCAAATGTAACCGACTAAATAATCAAATTCCAATGACAAGGTCATCTAAATTATTTCTCGTAAAAATATTTTGACACTTTTGTAAGCAATTAAATATACATGAGATGGATATATGAAATATTTGTAACGATCGATCTTTTTCTTCCAAACAGATTATTCAAATGATGAAATGCGCAGTTGTAGAAAAGTATTGTCCTGTAGTTTAATGCAATGTTAGTTGTACAGCAATGTTAAGTTATCATACTCATAGACATCATAAGTGGTTTTTTGTTGTTGTCATTTTTATGTTAATTTGTTTTCAAAAAAAACCACGAAAAGTTGATTCAAAGTAAATTGTAAAAGCTTCACTAAGCTTCACACGATGTAAGAATGAGTGTTTGTTAACCTAATAACTAGTCTAATTCTCATTTTCGATAAATCCATTCACTGTGTTGCAGACTGGCTTGGACCGAAGATATCGTGGATGACACAGTATCATTACGGAAAATTTACATTTTTATCAACAGTGCCAAAAATGTTCCTTACGTTCCTTAAAGATTAAAGAGGAGATCCTTCGCAACATAATGGACTATTTCACCCTTTCCTCTCCATACTGGCTGTCTTAGAGCCATTTTTATTATATTTACTATCAATAGTACTTAATTTATTAATGAATACGGCAGCTATTTGAGTTCTTGCTTTAATCTTGCCGTCTAGAGACAAAGATTTTATATCAAATACTACGTTAAGATGATCTACACTGTAAACTGACGATGATCGATTGTGTAATGGGAGGAGAGAACAAAAAATACCCAAAGACGATCAACAGATTTAGTCTTCACACAAGCATATTGTATGGATCTTCTTTATGATGTTATCCTCTTTTAATTTGTTTAGCTGATTTTGAACAATAAGCTAGTGACACCTATAAGAATTAATTAGTCGAATCAAAAAAAAATTTTGTTCATTGAAAATTCTTCATTCTTTTATATTAGTTTTAATTAAACTTACTAAGTGGTGGAAAAACGACTTCATGTGTGAGTCATAATCATTATCATATTTATCACAACTATGACTCATAAAATCAACTGACGTATATCTCACTCATATCGGTCATTTTTCTGAGTCTGGTGTTTCCTTATAGCAGATGCATCGAGCAGAAGTAGAACGCATAGAACATCTGCTACTTTAGAAATACATGCTGTTTTACATATTCTTCAGCAAAACAAAGCGTACTATGTACACTTTGCTAAATAAATATACATTTCGATTCCATATTCTTAAAGACTGTATAGAGTATTGACATGAGGTTCACGATTGTTACATAAATAAGTTTTTATCAGAGATGAAATCGACTCGATTTCAAGCTGAACCAAATCAAAATTGATTCAGATGGAACTTTTTGAAGAACTGGATTGCATCAGTTTAATTCTAAAAACTCTTAAATCGATACTATTTCTAGCGTTTAGTTTCTTATAAACGTATCAGATGAAAAGGATTAGTAGATGTACTGACTGTTTTTTAGTTGACTAAACAGCAATTTATATTTGTCATTAAAGAAATATACGAACATATATATTTTTCTTTTAGATCGTAAAAAACTTAGTTTTTCTACACTTTGCTGACGAAAATAAGAGTGTGAACATGCACATTACTCGTATAAGTAAAGTATACCATAATATTTTGTTTTATACCTCCATAGAAAATACTGTTCCGAGTGAATTGGTAATTGTTTATCATTAGTTTGAATGTGAAATTTTAATGAAGAAGCAGCTAACATTCAATAGAAAGTCCTTTATCTTTTATCAGTCCAGCATCATCCGAAGCTTATCAATTTATACGAATGAAGAAAACTAGTAAATGAGATATATCTATCGTCATGAAACTCTGCTTTTTTTACTGGTATACTTCGTAAACATAATATACTTTTAATATTTATTCAGAATAATGAAAATGATTGTTGAAATATAGTTGTTGATTCTCTTGGTCTAGTCTTAACTGGAAAATTTCCATGATTCATTCAAAGATTACAGTCTATGATAAAGAAACGTTATCATCAATTTTGCATTTAGTATATTTATTGGTAAAAAAAAAAAGTATAATAAAGTATGTCATTATATTGTATATACTATTGGACTATAATGTAAAACAATTGACGACATTGATTAAAGAACATAGTAGTTGGATGAGTTGTTCTCTAGTAATATTAAAACTCAAGATATTTGCATTGTATATAGAAACTTCATTTTGAAAGAAAAATTGACAATACCTTTTCGTGAAAGTGAAGGAAATGTTTTAGTAAGAGTTTTATAGAAGATGGAGAAATATTTACAACAACTAAATTTTATGTTCATACTGATTAGAGCTAAGACAGCATTGAGAGTAATTTTATTACTATCTCGAAAGATTACATAAAAATATACAAAAAATAATTTTTAGTTTCTTTGTAATAAAGTTCGAAATATGATGTATGGTATAAAAGTGTCATTATACTTTATTTTAGGATAAAATTCCTTCTATGAATCTAATTTTTACTAAATTAGATTCATAAATCAATGTAAGCTTGATTGGATTATCTATTGTTTGACGGTAATTAATTTTGTGTTACTTATCCTCTTGATTTCTTTTCTTTTCTTTGTTGTCTTCCTTTTAGTCATAATATTGTCAGATGATGACAATACTTTTAATAGTAAATTGTCTAAAAGTCTAATCATTTTTCTTATTAAATTTCAGATATATTCCTTTTGTGTCAATATCTTTTTCTAAAGACAAACGATCAATAAAACTTATTCATCATGTCTGGTAGGTCATGAATTTTTTTTTCTTAATTTTGGAACAAAAGTTTTTACATTATTATTTTTTCGTTATAGATAAATTGGCATTTCAATTTAAAATGCAAACAAAAATGCTCGAACGACAGTCGGGTACACATGATAAACAGGAAAAAGTCGAACGTGAAAAAGTTAAAAAAGCTTTAATGAAAGGCAATATTGAAGCAGCTAAAATTCATGCTGAGAATGCTATTCGACATCATAGTGAATCATTAAATTGTAAACGAATGGCTGCTCGTGTTGATGGTGTACAAGCACGTGTAGCAAATTCAGCAGCGCAACGACAAGTAAATTTACAATTTCTAATATAAACTTAGATTAGATATATATATTTTTTTTTTCTTTAAATATTTCTTTAGATGGCAGCAAGTCTTAAACAAACAGTTGCGTTAATGTCAAAGGTGACTGCAAATATGCCATTGACTGAAACATCAAAATTAATGGATAGTTTAGAGAAAAATTTTGAAGATCTTGAAGTCAAAACAAAAGTTATGGATGATGCTATGCAAAATGCTACTACTGTACAACAACCAGTCGATCAAGTTGCTAATCTTATGCAAGAAATGGCTGATGAAGCAGGAATTGAACTTAATCTTAACATTCCAAATGCACCAGCTATGAGCACTTCTGTTGCTCTTAAAGAACAAGTATGATTTGTTTTTGTTTTTATGTTTTTAATCTTCTGTATGGTTTTTGTTTTTTAGGACGAATTAAGTCAACGATTAGCAAAATTACGAGAATCTTAAAAATCACATGACATTTGTTGATGTTACAAAAATAACAAAAAAAAAAGAAATATATAGTTGCATTATTTCATTATCTTTACTTTTTTTTAAATCCTTTATTAATATAAGCTTGACCTATGTATATAAAAACCTATGTTTATATGTCTACTTTTTTTTCTACATCGAGGTATACTTTTTTTTTTGGTTTAAAAAAAGCAATCACTTGTGTATTCAACAATGTATCAATATCAAACATTTGATCAACAGAATCCTTGAGCTTGCATCGTGTCAGAAGAGAAATATATTGCGTTACACACTTTTATTTCTGTATAAGTATATATCAAGAACTTCTATTAATCATGCTTAAATCAATATGCATCCGCATCACATAATGTGTTCTGCGATTGGTTTGTGTATTTCATTGTGAAGTAAAGAAGGAAAAAAAACGAAAAAACGAATCCTATAACACGGTAACAAGAACAAAAAAGTTATTTTTACTGCTTTTGACCAAAAATATTATTTTTTCGTATTTGCGTATATCACAGCTGTCTCATTTTCACCCATACAACGAAATATTAAAAAAAAAACAGTACTGTCAAGAATACGACTACGAGAATGTGAAAAAAACCAAATAATATAGGTGGAATAATTATGAGTAGTAATCCAGAAGACAAAGATTATCTTGATCAACTCCGTCATATATTTCCATGGCATCGATCATTTACAACAAATGAACGAATTATAATTATACTTTTTGTTAGTACATTTGTTTCAATCGTTGGGTGTATATTATTTTGTCTTATTTGTTCACGATTTCCTTTACGACGACGATATTATTCAAAAAAGAAATTAGGTAAGGGTTGATTATAAATATCGTACAATGAAAAAAAGCAAAGTTAAGAATTATTTTTATTTCTATCAAGATAAAGAACAACATATTTTAATTGCTTCACCATCAAAAAAAGATACACTTGTACTTCCACCACCATATTATGAATCAATTTTTAAAACAGATGGTATGACTATTCTCAACAAATTAAGTAATTGTCTATATTTGAATTTAGGAAGAAAATTATCAAATGGAACAGTATCGGACACTGATGGTGGACAATCGAGTGCTGTAAGCATCTTTTCCATAATTTCACTAGCACATACAGACGAAAAAACTTTTTTTTTTTTAAATTTCCTATCAGCAAATTTTTTTTCATAGTATTTCTTTGATATTATTTTATTCAGAGTACTGATTATCTATCAGTATTAAATGAAAAAATCGCTCGTTCACAACCAGCTCATTCATCCCTCTCGAATGGTGATACAGTTGTAACAATAATTCCTACTTATCCATCACCACCATATGCTCAAATCAATGTTGAATTTAATATTGATACAACAAAAAATATATTAATAATTCATCTAACAAATGGTGAACATTTTTCACTTCATCCAGCATTTGATGAACAAGCTGAATTTTTTATTCATATACAATTATTAAATAATAAAATATTAAAAAAATTTCATGATGCAAGAAAAAAACGTCGATCAAGTTTGCAATTAAGTACATGGAGAAAACAACAAGAAAAAACGACTGAGTTTGATATAGATACTTGATTGATTAATATAATATTAATTATTTATATCGTTTAGAAAATTATTACGAACATCATCAGATATATTGATATGTAATCAATATTTACAATTCGAACTTAATAAGGATAATATCAAATCAACATCTCTTCGTTTTTTACTTTTTTGTATTGATCGATCTGGTATTCAAGATTTAATGTTTGAATCTGTAATTCATTTAAATGCATTAATGATACCTCATTATCAAGAAATAATTGAATTTAAAGATTTGCCTGAAGTATAAAAGAAGATTTTTAATATTTCGAAAGAAATATTTGTTTGTTTTTTGTATAATAGATAACTCTTGGAGAAATATTTCTTGGCATAAGTTATCTTCCAACTGCCGAAAGATTTACAATTAAAGTTGAAAAATTACGTTATCTTTGTAAAACAGAAAAAGATCAAAAAATTGGTATGATTTTTCAAAAAAAAAACAAAATTCAGATTATCATAGATAAAAGGATTAGTTGAGTTGAAGAATATGAAGTGAAATATAAATTTCAAATGAAAATTTTTTCTGACATTATTACTAAGAAATAAATAATTGAAATTTTTGATTTGATAGAACAAGTATTATTGATTTGAACGATAAAAATATTCATTATTCATTAGCAAATAAAATCATAGAATTATGATATTTACCTACCAAAATAAATCATATTTAGAGAAGAAAAAAAAAACATTTCTACAGACAAATAGATTTTTCACCGTTTATAACTAAAATGCAATAGAGCATTGAGTAGATCAAAATTGTTCTATTTTCAAGGTTGAAATATTAATTTAAAGTTTTCTTTTCAATAGGTGCTCGATTAATAGTAACATTTATTCATCATGGTCGCCGTTTTTTTCAAAAGAAACTATCATCTATTATTTCTGATGAATCACTAACAACAAACCATAATATACATGAAATAAACGAAATTATTACGCAAAATATTCCACAAAATGATATTCAATCAATATATGTACATTTTGAACTTATTATTCGTATATTACAGTCAAGAGATGAATCAATAATATCCGGTGGTTCAATACTTCTCGGTGAACATACACGATATGAAAGTGAATGGCAAAAAATACTTGAACAACCTCGACACATTCATCTTGGATGGTATCAATTTTTTGGATAATATATTTAATCTACTGTTTTCTTTTTTCGTCTTCTTAACTCTTTTTCTCATATACAGAACTCAAGCAACTCGTTTTGCTTCGACAACAATATTTGAAGAACGTCGTTGTCTTGATATAGTCGATAAATTTGTATTAGTTTTAATCGTAGCTAATGTACTTCGATGTGGAATCGCTGAACTTTTTTTACGTGCATGTTGACCAAATGATGTATTGATATTGTTTTTGACTGATGAACGATACGATGGCGATATTTGATCGGTAATCACCTGGGACAAATAAAATGTAAAAAGAAAAAAGAAAAGAAAATAAAAATCTATACGTCTGTATTTTATGTTTATTCTTCTTTTGAATTGAAAGGAAAATAAAAATAGAAAGGACAAAAATATGAGAGAGAATTTTATAAAAGAAAACAAATGAAATTTTTTCTTTTTAATTATCAAAAAAAGAAATAAATAATAGAGTCATATTGATTATTGAACTACCTGAAATAAATCTACAAGAGCATTGAGTGTTAAAGTTGGTCGATGTTGTCGTGCAATAGATATAGGTGGAAGAAATGATGATATAGGCTGTTGTAATGATGGTAAAGATTCCAAATGAAATGTTTGTTCATCTGCTTCACTAGTAACAAATGATTCAGGTATATCACCTTCGGGTAATTGATCTATCATTTCATTAATTGACAAAGATGATTTTGTATTTAAACCAGATATAGTTGTCATAGATAAAATTGAATCACGACAAGTTGGTATATTTGTTGATAATAATAATGGTGAATAATAAATTTGTTTTAATTTTTTAACTTTATTTATTTTACCTTCTCTCATAGCATTGTCAATTTCTTGTCGAAGTTTATCACGTAAACATAAACGATGTTCTTCAATACCAGCTATTTCCCATTCATTTGCATTTCTATGTGTTGTTAAATCACATTGTTGTCGACTTGCATGTCCTTTATTTGAAAGTATTTGTGCTATGTCACGTAAGTGTAGTTTTATAGCTAATAAATATGGTGTTAAACCATTTTTATCTAGCATATCAACAGATACTCCATAATGATTCATAACAATAATAAGTGCTTCAAGTATAGATACATTATTTGATTCAACAGCTTGATGTAAAATTGTACGACCATGTACATCTAATGAACGCCAATCAATTTCACCACCAGCATTAGCAAGTAAAAGTTGAATTGAATCCATTTGTTGTCGAGCAATAGCTTCATGTAAAGGTGTATAATTATATTTTTTTTCTTTTTGTAATGCATCAATACCATGATCTAAACAAAATCTAATCATACGACGACGTTTACGTGCATCTGGAATATCAAGTGCAATAAATAAACCATTACGACCATCTTTTGTTGTTACATTTAGATTATAATTATGACGAATAAATAATGCAAGTTGCCTATATTGTGAATGACGTATAGCATTGAGTACTTTGGATTCTAATAGTTGCATTGTATTTATGTAGATACACACTAAAATATACTTTGATCTAATGATAATGATTTCTTTTTTTCCCTTCTTTTCAAAATGGCACTTTTAAGGCACAAAAACGTTTATAACGTTCGTATGTGTTGTTGCTGCGCAAACATACGATCGAGTTCCGTAATAACACTTTTAAAAAAATAAGTAGAGAAATAAGCGAATGCAAATGTGAAAGAGCCAAAAAACTTTGATGCCTGCATGATGACTGACTACGCGTGTTGATTTCTTTTGATTCCGAAGGGCAACTGATGATTGATTGACATAAACAACAGCAGTGGTATATTTTATTCTTTTGGTGCACTTTCTCGATTGTTGGCATCAATTTGTCTATTTAATTTTCAAAACCAATGTCAATTAAAATGTCGAGCACTTGCGATTATTTTTTTTCATCTGAGAATTTATTTTAAAACAAGTTCTTTTTTTTACGCATTTTTGTTTTATACAAAAAAAAACATACAACAAAAGAAATATTAAATAAGAAAAAACACAATGTTTTCTTTTTTCTTATCTTGAAAATCTATTGTCGAAGTTCAACATCATGTTACATAGGTTTTATAAGTACTTAATCTTATTTACTTGACGTTTACAATTTCATATAAATATCGTTAGAAAAGAAAAATAATCGATTAGAAAATTCTTTTTTTATATGCTAAATGTACGATTGACGTCAGATTTTGATTGAAGCCAATCAAAACGAAAAATCAAATAAATTCTTATCGAAATATTTCGTGTGTTAGACATATAACAGGTGAAAGTAATAATAATAGTTTTTTTTATGATTTAACCATGCGTAGACTAATGATGATACAAAAAAAAGTATTATTCAAATGAACTATATATTCACTTAAATAAATTACTTTTACTATCGGAATGAGTAGTGAGCAATCATTGTCAAGGTAGTTTTCATAAGCGTAGTAGTAGTCATTTGAAATATCTATATTGATTATTATGATAAATTATATGTTAGAACTTTTTTTTTCAATGACTTTTAATTTTACTAATTGATTCAGTTTTTTATAGAAAAGAAAACAAATATGCTGATTCATAAATATAAAACGAACAATATTTTGGTAATTAATATTAGCTTTACTTAACTTAATTACTTCTTTGACTGTTTGCTATAATGAGTTTATTTTGAATCCTAATAGCTTTATGATTTATTTTATCTGGAAAAATGCCTGTACTTTGTCGATTATATTTTTACAATCATAATGTATGCATAAATACCATTCAATAAGTCACCTTTCGTTTAATAGTCGATTACATATGCGTGTCACTGCCTATTTAATGGCTGAATAATTTGCAACAAGAGCTACAGCTTCTGTTTTTCTATGAATGTTATATCAGCTGTATAGATATACTTGCTCAAAGTGAATGTTCGATAATGAATAACAGTTGCAATAGTTTTACCAATTTGTAAGACAAGTTGTGCCTAAAAATCAATATTTGCTTTCATCATAGAGAGTAGCTGTTCGATCAGATATTTCACAAGCAAGAAAACTATTGCCAAAGGGTCAACCGAGAAAAAAACAGCGTTTGTAATGAATGGATGTACCAAACGGGTTTCATACTTTTCTAATATTTGAATAGTTTAAACTTGTGCAGTCAGAAAGGGAAAAGATGAAAAAAAAGTGGATGGTTGATATAGGTAGTAAAATTTAGTTGGAATATACCGTTTAATAACTATTCGACGACATGTTTCAATTAATTTTCAATTTAATTTATCAAAAATATTGTTATGAGCAATGGCGGAAATAAAGATATCTTATTCAGTAAATGTTTTTTTTAACTGCATTGTCATGCATTGAATCAATTATTGATCGAGCAAGATAGTATATGTTTGTTTAAACTATCAACACTGTCAACTAGTAGCACGTTTTTGTACGAAACAGTTGACATTTTCAAGGTATAAAAAAATGATTTCTAAATATAAATCATCAGCACGTAAAGCTGTTTTATTTTTGCTATGCTACACAATTGTTTTCGATCGACATCAATATACATTCGATAAACATGTCAATGAATAGCAATGCACAAATGATTAATTCATGGCTAAATCAAATCATTGCGATACTAATTTTGATCTATTCTTAGACCTTATTGCTTCAATAGTAAATCAGTTAAATCAATGATAAATTTTAATTGAGTTAGTTATATTTTGTTGTCATATGCATGTTAGACTTGATATTTTTGTTTTTTAAACTGCTACTGATAATAATAAATTGACTATTTAATTAACTAATAAATATCTCATAACAGTCATTTTATGTTCTAATAACAAAGAGATTCTACTGCTACTTGTACATGTATGGTTGCCCATTTTCACGACACATGATGTTTGTAATAAAGCATTGAATCTCAACTGATAAACTATAATTCGACAGCTAAATTATTTTATTGGATGCCAAATTTATTGTGACAGATTTATGTGTATATAACATAGCATTATCAAATTCTGCATTATATAAAAAAAAATTAGAGAATAATGTCCACTTCAGAGATAGATGGCTGTGGACATTTTTGAATAACTCCATAATAACAAAAGATAAAGAACTGATATTTTAACACTATCTAGGGTCGAGGTTGCTTTATCTTTTCACAAAGTCAACGAAAAATTTCCATCTTTTTTTTGTCTTATGTAGATTATGGTTTTTCAAGATGAACCAATTTCGGTATAAATACAATATGATTTTTTAATAATAATAGAATGGGTAGATAGCCTATCTTCATCTCTATCGATCTACGCAAGGCCGAGGTCGATAGCTATTTCCAATCCAAAAAATGTAAAGACTATACTGAAGATTGATGATCAGTTTTTTTTCAAAATTTGAACGAATAAAATGTATTTTTTTTCTATGATATTTCGTGCTTTTTGATTTCATGACATGATTCATTAACCTTTAGGTCTTTCTTTTTGTACTTAGAATAGCATCAAAATAAATAGAATATATAGTCTTTGATGATAATAGATTGATATCTTTAGTCAATTTTATCGGTAATTTTTTTCTCTACTGATATGTATTCAATCAGATACATTTAATTTGGATCTATTGTACAAGTGATGTACCTTATTGAGGGAGTGGGTGTGGGTGTGCATGGGAGTAAGTGTGGTTACCAGTGCAAAGAACAGCGACACACCCATACCCACCCACAACTAGGCCCACCTACAAACACCGACATCCGTACACTCTCAGTGGAGTAAAAGTTATCGATAAAATTGACTAAAGATATCAATCTATTATCATCAAAGACTATATATTCTATTTATTTTGATGCTACTCTAAGTACAAAAAGAAAGCCCCAAAGATTAATAAATCATGTCATAAAATCAAAAAGCACTGATTATTATAGAAAAAAATAATAACACTAACTTTCTAACTAAATCAAAGCAATTTATAAACGACGCCTAATGACTTTAATAAATCCTGAAGCGGCGAGTCGATTGATGTATGATAAGCTGTATTTATTAAGTCGGCTGACTGCATGGAGTGCAGTAGCCGACTTATTGCTTTTCACTCGGTTGGTTGTCATGGAAAATTCTTCTTCTTCTTCTTCTCAACAGATGAGTCACGATTCAAGCCAACCACTCGTTCTCATCTCCTGAGTATCATTTTCAGTCGAAAAAAAAGATTGGCGAGATCCTGGGAACGTGACGAGTGCACATCTGAAATCCGTTTTTCGAAATTTGGCGCCGTTCGGGAGATATAGAAAATGTCAAAAATGATAATTAACAGCTGATAGTTTCCTTATATGATTATGCATGACTCAGTCTTAAAAAGACCATTGATATCTCAGATCTTATATGCATATATAGTTTAATTATTGTTTTACACGACTTAAATTCATCCATGGAGGAGTCCCAAATGTTTAAAAAAATATCTGCATGGTTTATACACATGAGATACAAATAACGATAATGAACAGCTGAGAGCTACCTTATATGAAAATCTATGATTCAGATTCATTATCTCTCACTAGTCAGCTGAACTAAGATAGCTGAAGGCGGTTGAAATTCATTATAACTTCCTCTACACTAGTCTAGGATTTTGAAATAGTGGATGTCGTTGATAATCATATTTCGATATTTTTCGGGCTTTGCAGTCAGCCGACTTGTCTAGCCGATCTTGGGCCGGCTAGAGGTCTAGTCTTTAATCCTGATGTAATTATTCAGGAAATAATCTTATATGACATTTTTTTTAAACTAATTTTCATTTTTCTCTTGAAATGTAAATTATTAAACGTTTGATTGTCCTCCAATATTTGACCTTAGTGAGCAAGTAAAAGGCTCTTGAATTTAAAAAAAAACCGTCATTGTTCATATTTTTATGACAACAAAAAAATCATCGTCATCATTTAATACGAAATTACAAAAAAGAAAAATAATGTGTTCAAAGAAAATCGCCACATGAACATTAACCACTTTTAGGTTTAGAATTTCTATCTACAATGCATCCATCTTGCTTTAGTTTGTCATCGATACGAACTACTTCGTCATGAATTTCACACATTTGAGTATGACGTCACTTTAATCTAGTGGTTGATATCGACAAAACAGAAAAATATGTTTACTCATTAGCATAAAATTCATGGATAAAACCATCGATATCGACTCAAGTGTGATCAAGTACTTCGTTAAACTTTTTTCTCACATTATTCATTGAATCTTCAACGTATGTTTTCACCGACCTTGGTCAGTCTAAAGATTAACTATGCATATCAAAACAAAAAAACAACAAGTACTATGAATATATTAGTAAAAAGTAACTACGTAGAAAAATATACGATATTTTCAATTCTTCTAATCGAAATACTTGAGTAATATCGAGGCATTAAATGATTTTTTCTGGTAATTGTAAATAATCTCGATTATGTGCACAATTCAATATAGACGTATACATATATTTATATATATTATAATCAATAGTAGATTTGTCAATCATTGGCAATGTCTAAGTAAATAAATAACAATA